AAACTCAGTCCTGTGAAAATGTACTACTTACATCTGGCTAACAAGTGGCAAAGCCCATATAAAAGCATAGTTTTCGATAGTGACACCAGCAGATGGAAAGCTTAGGCTTCCAAGTCAGGCCATTAATTCAGACAAATCACCCATTTCTTATAAATGGAGACACTAATAGTGCCAAACCCTTCAGGGTTTTGGTCTTTCAATTATATGCCCCATAAAACCTGCTTCCTTGTTTATATACAGATTTTCTCATGCAGTTCAACTCTGAAAATGGTAAAAGTACTTTTTTTTAAATGAAATGATTTTGGCAAAAGAGCCTGCTGTATACAACCAAAGAAGCTTTGCTTTTTTCCAAAAGGCACTATAAGTAATTAGGTAACAGTAACACAAGCTCTCAATGGGCCTTCCACAATAATGGGAAGACACAGGGTTATCTCAAACTAGGTGACCAAAAGAGCTCAAGTCTCGACTGGTTTTCTGTCCATGGGCTTGCTGGAACTGAGAGTCCAAGTTCTAAAGATACAAAGCAGTTGCAACTCACACTTCCTGGTTCCCTGTGGTATTTACCCATGTGTTATAAGTCATTGTTTGCTCACCTCCCCAAAAGGAACAGTCCACATGCCGAGCACAGGTCCACAGAGCACATCTGGACCCTGGCTCAAGCATGTTTCTAAAGGATGCCAAGAAAATGGGGTACAAACACACCTGCGAATCTCTTTGCCTGTAAAAACATGCCTGACCCAAATGGCAAATGCTGACCCTTGACCCTGACCCTCTTTGAATAAGAAAAACATACAGCATCTATACTTACTAAACTCCTTATAGTTACTGCACTTATGACAGACTAACCTTGCCATCGCGAAGACCAGACACATCACGTGGTGTTTGAGAGCAACTACGACTCCGGGCGAGAGAAGACGGTGGAACAGAGTCTTCCCGTTTTCTTTTCCGAGTGACACTCCGAGATCGTCTTGCCTGGGCTGCATAGTGGGCCTGAAAACCGTGAAAGGCAAAGTCACACAAGAACTTCAGGGCTTTGCTTCGAGATTTACTGACAAAAATGAAAGTACATTACTAGGGAGAGGGACACTGAAGAATATTTACAATAACAATCCAAAGCAACTAAATATTTGAAAAAGACATAATTGGTTTCTGGCCAAATACCAGTTAAACCTTTTCCCCCTAACACGGGCTGTTTTAAATTTGTATTTCAAATTTGTGGTAGTTATATAATCTAGTGTCAGTTTGAGGATCAAGAGTGTAGGGTGGACAGATAAACCCCCTTAGGACCAATAATGAGAGTAGCAATACCAGGAGGGTAAGGGGAATGTGGGGTAAGAAAGGGGGAACTGATCACAATGATCTACATATA